CCTGCCCGGCTCCTGCCCGGCTCCTGCCCCGGAGCCAGCCTAGAGTGGGTGTCGCCCTCCTGGGGGGCGAGGAGATGTCTGCGGGGGCTGCACTGCTCCGTGGGGCACCAGCACCCCTTAACGGCCACCTCTCCCACCAAGACGAGCCGGCGGCGTTCGCCCTCCCATCCTGCCGTGGGCTCCGGCCCGGGCCGACCCCACTGAGCCCGCGGCGTGACCGGCAAGTCCCTCTCCCGCCGGCCCCTGGGAAGTGGCCGCAGCAGCGCCATGGGTGCAGGGCCTTCGGGTGCAGGCACGGGTGTGGTTCCTGAGCCCCGGCCACGCGGGGTCAGGCGGCCGCCTGGTGCCTCCAGGCAGCGTGCGGTGCCCTCGCCAGTGCTCCGCGCCCCCAGGAGGGGTCTCGTGCGCCGGGTAGACCTCTCAGCAGCCACCGCGGGACCCTTCCCTCTGGGGAGAGCTGCCGCCGCCGCCCCAGTGGGAGAGGTGGGCCATTAAGGGGTGCTGGTGTCCCACGGGACCAGTGCAGCCGCCCGCAGACATCTCCTCGCCCCCCAGGGAGGGCGACACCCACCCTAGTTGCTCCCGGGCAGGAGCCCGGCAGTGTCTGAAGCGTCCTGCCCAGCCTGGGGGCTGGGGTGGATTTTGTATTCGGGGTCTCACTGAACCCCGAGGCAGGAGTGGCATCTGCCGTCACAGAGGACAGTGGCTCAGGGCGCTGAGGGGCCTTGCCCGAAGTCCCAAGCTGGTGAGAGGCAGAGCTGGGGTCTCTCCCGTCCTGGGGTGCCGCCAGGCTCCTGTCTGCCCTGCGGCCCCCTGCGTGTCAGCTGGGCAGATGCAGGGAGGAAAGTGGGTGCGGCTGCAGCCCAGGCCGAGGGCACTGGACCCCGGTCCCCCACTACAGCAGGGAGAGAGAGCCTGGGGCCAGGCTGGGGCCGGGCGGGGTGAGGAGCGGAGGCAGGGATCTGGGGGGGCAGCTGCGAGTCGGAGCCCAGACGCGCCCCACTCTGGCCAGGGTAGGGGTCCCACTTTCTTGCTCACCCCCTGTCCCGCGCCAGGACTGACCCAGGCCAACTACACGTTGTAGGGATGGTGGGAAATTTTAGTCACCTTCTAAGTTCTTCTCAGGCTGATTAAGCAAATTAATACCAGACAGCTTAGTAGAGAAAAAGAACCAATTTAATTACACACATGCGGAGAATTGATAGGGCGGTAACTAGATAGGATAATTCAAGTTTTCTATTCTTGAACTAATGAATGGGCCTCGGGCCTCGGCAGGCAGCAGGAGAGAGGGGTCTCACATGGCGAGCATGGGCAGTGCTGTGACGAAGACCGACGCTCTCGATTGCCGTCTGCCAGGAGCTCGGGGTCTCCAAGAAGGTTGTCTCTGGAGATGGCCCTAGAGCTGGGTCATCTTCACCCATCGAGGTATTAAAGTAACGACCATAATTTCTCTTGAAACCTCCAGGGCTCTGCTCGACCCTAGCTACCTGTGCCAAGGTGATACATGCCCAGCTTCAGTCCCCGCAGGCTGGGTGGGGAGCTCCGAGTCCCTTTGCAGGCAGATCACAGCGCACTGGGGCCGCATTCGCTCAGCAGATGTGCGGGCTGCTCACTGCACCAGGGCCGGCGTCCCGCCCCCTGCCCCCCCCCCACCGCTGCAGGCGTTGGGGGAGGCACCCTCTCCTGCCCTGGGAAGGCTGTGGCAAGGGCTGCTGGCCCTCTTCTGCTCTGCACCCCCAGCTCGGGCTCCTCGTGCAGGGCGCTGATAATGGCCGTGCTGAGAGCCGCCCAGAAAATGCCCACGAGGGCAGATGTTGGCTCAGCTCCAGCTGGAGACTGTTTCTGGGGGACCCACTTGCCACCATGCTCCCCTCGCAGCCTTGTGACCGGGCTGGGCCAAGGCTTTACTCTGCCAGCAAAAAAGCTGAGCCCCTGGGGGGTACGGAAGTTGATGGACAGGCTGCAGGGACAGGCCCCCACCGGGCAGCGCCCGGACCCACCAGACCCTGCTCCAGGCCAAGGCCATCTAGAAGACACAGCAGTCTGCCCTCCGGCTGGCTCTGCCCTCAGCAGCTCTGGGCTGGGCACACCCCTCCACTGAGCATGGCCCCCTTTCTCTGCCACTTCAGTGAGGTGTCCGAAGCGGTGGGTCTGGGAAAAGGTTTTCCAGTGACCTGCAGGCACCCTGCTGCAGAGGGGACAGGGGAGGAGGGCTTGGAGGCTCCCTTTACCCGCCCCCACTGGTCCCCCGCGACTACCTCCTCTGGGGGGCAGGGCTGGGGAAGGGGGGGTAAGGCCACCCCAGATGGGCAGACCAGGGCGGGTGCTGGGCAGACAAGAGGCTCACAGCTGTGGGCGGTGGTGGGGACAGGTCGACCTCGGCCTGGCCGTGGAGGCAAAGTCTTGGCCAAATTCGCCCCCTTCCTGAGCCTCAGTTTCCCCGGGGACATGGCAGAGCTGGGTCTGAGCCCTTGGTGCCCCCTCCAGGCTTGGGGGTGGGGTGACCGGCAGAGCCAGGGCCGGCAGGCGGGGTGAGTGCACATGCGCCCTGAGCCGGCGCCAGCAGCTTCCGGACTTGGGTTCTGAAGCGTGGCTGGGCCTGCGTGGCAGCCTGACCGCGGGTCCGCCGTGGAACACGGCGCCATTCAGTGGCTCCTGCCCTGCCAGGCCGCCCACCCGCCACCCCGCTGGGGAGGACGCCCAGGGAGGCGGGGAGGCCCAGCACCGGCCGGGCACAGCGGGACGCCAGCCTGCGCTGGGACCGGCGTTGTCCTGGTGATGGCGCAGGGCCCAGGCACCCACGGGAGCAATTAGCCAGCGTAGGAGGTTTCCATGGAGGCAGTCCTGAGGGGTGTGGGGGGCGCGGGAGGGGCAGGGCCGGAGGGACCTTTCTCCTTTGTCCCGGGCACACTGGGTCTTTGTCTGCCTGGTCCTCTCTGATGCCAGAACCAGGACCATGGGTGGGGGGCACACTTGGGTTAGTCCCCCCACCCTCGGGGTCCTGAACCAGCTCAGCGGGAAGGGCAGAATAAGGACTAGGACCCCACTTCTGGACCAGTTCTCCCCTTGGGGGCCCTACCTACCCCCCAGAGGCTGGGCCAGGCGCTCACCACGGGCTCCTGTGCCAGTAAACACCTTGGCAGCCAGTGGGCAGTCCTGTGTGCCCAGCAGGGCTGAGGAGAGCCAGGACTTGGGGAGGGGCAGCGAGGGGCGAGGGCAAGGGTCAGCCTGCTGAGGGCATTTGATCCAACTCCATCCAGGCTTCTACACAGTCAGACTTTATTCCAGGAGGCCCCTTGGGGCCGCCAAGCCCAGTCTGCGGCCTTAGTCCTGAACGCTGTCAGCACCACCCTCGCTGCTCGCCAGGCCAGGCGCCAGGACAGCCCTGTGGGCAGATGCAGGCCTAGGTCCTTGACCCACAGTCAGTGGGAAGGGAGCTGAGCCCCCAGATGGGGCCTTGAAGTGCAGCATCCGTTTCGAGGCTGGTGTCTGCATTTGGGCGACTGAGACCTGGGAGCACTGAGCACACAGCACCCTCAGAATCGGGTGTCCAGGAAGGAGGTGGAGCCTCGATGAGACCTGGGAGGTCCCTGCAGCGGGGATCCCTGCAGCGGGGGTCCCCGTGCCCGAGTCAGTAGCCCGTGGAAAGTCTTGCCACGAGTCTGGGGCTTGCGCTGTGGCGGCCTGGGCTCCTCGGGGGGCTGCACCACGATCCGGGGCCCCTTGAGTTTGGAGCCTCCCTGGGCCCCAGCCAGCTGCTGGGCTTCAAAGATGGCCTGTGCCCCGGGCAGGCGGGCCTGGGGCCGCGGTGGAGGCCCGGACGCTGACTCGGGCAGCTGTGCCAGCTGGGTCCTGATCTCCCGCTGCAGGTCCTGCTCGGACAGGGCCACGCTGTGCACCTGCGGGCGGGAGCGGCTGCTGTTGAGTTTGCCGGGCGGTGGGGCAGTGGGGGTGGGGCAGGAAGCCATGAAGTCCCCACAGGGCGACAGCACACAGACCCAGGAAGCGGCTGAGGGCTGAGGCCCTGACAGCCTGGCTGGGGGCCCTGGAAAGCCACTTGAGACCTGCAGGGGGTTTGCTTACTGCTGCTCTCAGGACAGGAGCCCGGAGCCCGACGGTCCACACGCTGACCTCCTGTGCTGGGGCTCAGTTTCCCCAGTGGTGCAGCGGGGCCGGGCCCCTGGGGCAGCAGGGACACACACCTGGGACATGAAGACCTCCTCCTGCAGCTGGGCGGGCGGGATGGTCCGGAGGGCGCCCAGCGTCTCCAGGAGCCCCGGGCAGGCCAGGCGCTGTTCTGTGGTGCCCAGCGCCAGACGCACCAGCGTCAGCCCCACCCGGAACAGCACCTTCACACCTGCGGGAAGAGGGCCTGCTCAGCGGGGGCCCAGCCCCCACCCCCAGCCCCGCCCTCCGCCTGACACCCTCTGCCACCTGTTCCTGGGCTACCCCTGGGCCAGGGGAAGGCTGACGCGCTGGAGGGTCAGTCCCAGCACCTCATCACTTCCCGGCTGAGCATCTGCCAGGACTGGGGGCTTCCCACATACCCTCGTGGGCCTCATTTCCTCGTTCCCACAGGAAGGGGCAGGCGGTGACTGCGAGGTCCGGCCAGCTCAGCTCTGTGCCTTCCTGACCCTCGCTCCACGCGGAGCCCCCTCCCCAGGCTGGAGCACAGTGCCCACACGGGCACACACGGGCTGCTCTCGGGGGGCCGTGGGCCCTTCCCGGTGCCGAGCTCCCCCCTGGCGGCCTCTCCTCTGCTGAGAGGCGTGGTTCGGGGACCCCACGGCCTCGTGACAACTGTGATTTGTAAAGGGGCGACGCAACTCGACGTCCTCATCGTCATGAGAGGAACCCAGGCGCTCGTCCTGGGTGGAGGGACAAGGTGGCTCAGCCCCACTGATGGGGTCCCGGCCCGAGGCCCAGGGCTGGAGGGCAAGGGCCAGGTGACCCGGAGCGTGATGCCAGCCTGCAGCCGGAAGGCTGCAAACGGCTACGGGGGCAGCAGGTACTGGGCCCGAGCCCTGGGCCCCAGCGTCCAGCTCAGCTCTGTCCTACTGCCCCCACTCTTGGCCAGGCTCCCTTTCCCACGCCACCGTCCAGCGGTCTGCAGCCAGGGCCCTGGGCCAGGACCCTCGCGGCCCCTGGCCCCCGGCTGCCTGCAGGCTGGCCTCCTCCACGGAGCAACCGGACGAGCTCTGGAAACGGCCTCTCCCCCCGCTGCTGCCCAGTGCTGTCACGGCCTCGTCTTTCTCGGTGGCACCTGGGACCGTCTGCACGCGCCATTACTCCGGCTGTCGGGCCTCCCACCGCCCCGTCGGCGTGAGGTCTCGCTCCTCAGCTTCCAGGGCAGTGTCTGGCCCCCACAAGGCTCCCTGGGGTGAGAGCCCTGCCCTGGGCCACGGCGCACCACGCAGTCCTGGAGCTGCTCCGATGGGCCCCCCAGCGCCCTCCCCCCGGCCTCAACAGGGCACCCCAGCGCAGGCCAGGCCTGGGCGGGCCGGCAGAGTGGGCGTGCTCCGTCCCTGTGCGCGCTGCGCCCCCAGGCTCCCGCCCCGCTCAGGGGGCGCCCACTCACCCTCACTGAGGAAGGCGTCCCAGACTCGCAGCACGGTGGGGAAGGGCAGGGAGCGCGCGAAGAGGCACAGGAACCACTCGGGCAGGTAGAGCAGGGGCCCGACGCCCACCTGCTGCAGGTGCTTGTGCACGCGAGGGAGCAGCCGCCGCAGCAGGGCCATGAACACCTCGGCGTCCAGCCGCACGGCCTCCTGCGGCCATGTCCGTCAGCACCTCCGCTGCCAAGCCCCGGCTCTGCCCCCGCGGCCCCCACGGCCAGCCCAGCCCCCCAGCCCTCCAGTCCCACACCAGCCTCTCACCATGTGGGGCCCATAATAGCCGGGCAGGTAGGCCTCGCAGATCTGGACCAGGCACCAGAAGGCCTCCTGGGGGCGGCACAGCTGTGAGTGCCCAGCGGGCTGGGCCACGGGGCGCCCCAGGCCCCACACGCCACCGGGGGTTCTCTACCCAGAGCCTCCCCTTTGGCCAGGTGGAGGCCCACCAGAGCATTTGGGCGGCAGTCACGGGGCTGGGGCACCGAATCTGAGGGCCCCAGGGTTGAGGCTCACTGGCCAGGGTTGCGAGGGTGCCTGAGTTCAAGGCCTGGGCTCCTGGGGTGGTGGGGTTAGGGTGACAAGTTCAGAACTGAGAATTAATGGAGTTAAAGTGGCGACATCTTGACTCTTAAATTCCTGGGGGAAGGGTCGGGCCCTGAGCCCTTCAGATCTGGGAGTCAAGGATAGCAGGCCCCTGAGCGACCCTGAGACTGGGGGCACGGGCCGGGCACAGGCTCACTGGGCCCCTAGACATTCGGTTGGGGATGAAGGCTCACCGGGGCCCCAGGCTCTGCAGCAGGGTAGGGCACTCACCTCCGGGGGCAGATGCATGAGCAGCACAGCCGCCACAGGGCCCTGGGCCTGGCAGTAGCCCTGCTCCGGCCGATACAGCGTGTAGGCCTTCAGTACCTGCAGGAGCCCCTGCTGCCTGTGCCAGAAGACCCCGTCAGCAGCCAGCCCCCCCGGGCCTCCCTTCCCTACCTCTGTTGTGCTCTGTCTCGGCCCCAGGACCCCTGGGGGGAGTAAGCATGTAAAGCTAGGGTGGGGGGCTGGCCCGGGGCGCCCAGGGCTGGGCAGGCTGGGGTCCCCGGCACTGCTGGCCTCGTACCCGTGACCCTGGGGCGACACGAACATCTCATGCAAAGGGAACTGGCGGTGTAGATCCCTGCCGATGGTCTCCATCCACTGCGGGTCTCCAGGGGCCTTGGCCAGCTCCTGTGGGTGGGCAGGTAGCTGGGTGTGAGGGCTCAGATGGTGAGCGGCTGGGGGGACGGCAGGGACAGCCAACTCCCTTACCTCATAGGTGTCAGGGCTGTTCTCCTGACACACGTGGGCCCCACATAGCAGGGGCCAGCACCGGGCCCGCAGGGCCGAGGGGATCCCCTTCCGGCACTGCCTCTTCACCTGCAGTGTCGGGGGAGCGTCAGGCCCCTGGCCTGCCTCCCCTGCTCTCGTGGGGAGAGGGCCACTTTGGGGGACAGGAGGTGCTGGGCACCAGAGGGTAATTTGCCAGCGCGTGGATTGACGCAGAGGGACAGGAGCCACCGAGGCCGCGTGGGGCCACACTCCCCTCACCTTCTTGTACCGCCGAGACATGGTTTTCTCCCAGTGCGAGGTCATCTCCACCCACTTCATCTCCCGCTGGCGTACGAGGTCTGCAGGGGGGTGGCCCAACCTAGGGACACAGGGCACAGGTGTCCAGGTGCTGAGGCTCACCTATGCAGCCCTCCAGGCCGCTCCACCTCCTGGCCCTGGGACTTCGGGGAGCCCTGGGGGAGGGGCGACCTGTCACCCAGGAGTTGCCACTGGTTACCATGGGGATAGGAGAGGATGTGGCTGGGTTGTGGGCGGAAGCAGGAGAGACTGATGGGGTGTGTAGGTGTGTTTTGGGGGAAGGGCTGGTGGCTGTCGCCCAGGGCAAGGCATGGGCAACTCCTTGGACTGGCGCCCTGGGACAGAAGCCAGGTCTGTCTCTGGCCCGCTGCCTGCCTTTTGGCTTGTCCTGTGTCTATGCTGGGGAAGGGGGAAGGCAGGGAGCAGCGTGAGTTCCCTGACGTGATCTGGGACCCTGGGCCAGGATCTGAGACTGAAAGGGGAAGGACGTTCAGCACCAAGGGTAGGTGCAAACCCTGGAATGGGGCTGAGAGATGTACAGGGACACCCCGCCCCAGCCCTGCCAACTAGGAGTTCCACCTGCACCTGTGGAGGGTGACATGGCCTCAACCCCAGCCCCTCCCGGAACCCTGAAGTTGGCCCTCACTCTAGTGCCATCCTTGCTCCAGACACCCCCCTACCCCCGTCCCACCCCACTCACCCTGGCTCTGCAGAGCTGCCCCCAATGAAGCCGTAGCGATCTGCCTGGCGGTACGGGCTAGGCCCGTTCAGCTCGGAGTCTGAGCCCAGAGAGCTGGAGTCATCCTGCACCAGGTCCTCCCCCAGGGTCTGGGCCATGGTGCCCCAGACCCTTGCGGCTCCGGGCTGCAAGGCGTGGGGAGTCAGTGAGAGAGGCAGCTTCTGGCAGCCAAGGGCGTGGGCCCCCTAAGCAGAGTGCCCGGCTCCAGGGCCTGGCTTCAAGGTCAGAGAGGGAGGTTTCAGAATACCTCACCAAGCCCCCTCTGCCCTTCTGGGGGGACAGGGGAGCAAACGGCGAGGCCCTGAGTGGCAGAAGGGCCAGCCCTGTCTCAGGCGGACGGACACTGTCCCCTGTCCCCACAGCCCGGCTTACCTCCCTGCTGCACTACCTGCCTCCTCCTCTCGCTTCCTCTTCAACCACAGCTTCAACAACAACGCGTGGGGGCCCCTCCCAAGCTGGGGGGGGTCACCCCTTCCTCTTCCGGCCTGCCCCTGCCCCCTGAGCCTGGGCCCCTCCCACCCAGGTGGCTATAGGCTTGGGTTCCTGCATGCAGGCTAGGGGTGCGAGGGGCCGGCACCTGCGGAGGTTGGGGGCCCCCCCAGTTATGGCGCACGAGACACTCAATCCCGGGTTCTGGTAAGACTGATGATTTATTGCCCTTACAAAGGCCTGCTTTTCCCATGCCCGCGAAGCGGATTATGCTACTCAGAAGGCGATCGCAGGGCTCAGAAAGAAACACGCATGTCGCGGGCACTTAGGCCCCGTGTCTGGGCCAGCCATGGCCGCGGGCCGCCTCGGCCCAGGCCCTCGCCATGTCTCTGCCGGCCTCCTTTTCTGCCCTTCGAGCGCTTCATCCTCGACTCGGGAGCCGGTCGTCAACGTGCTCGCCCCAGCCAGGGCGGGGCGCGGGACGGCGCAGGACCGCAGGACACAAACAACTTCCGCGGCGCTTCCAGGCACCCCGGCGCCGGCCGGCCCTGCGGCTCGGGGGCGTGGCT